TGGTCATATAGTTTAAATCTATATCCTATAACATATTTTTCATCTGTTCCCAGAATTTCTATGACTTTTAAATTTTTTATTTAGCACAGTTTTTTGTCTCGCAGTATGCGAGACATAGGTATTACTATCCGGCAGGCGGCGGCGTAAACTATTTGTATAAAGCTTTATATTTCAGAAGGTAGAAGATCTGGATGCTTCATACGTTGTATGCAGATACCTTATGTTACGAAGTTTTTCGTCTGTCATATTCCCATTGTCCTTGACCTCATTTAGATGGTTCAGTGACTGCTTGAAAAAAATTACAGTTTTTTTGTCATGTGAATTTCTCACTTATTTTGAGTAATAGGATAACTATATTTGGTATATGGGTTCCTTGCATCGTCTACATGTCCGTCAGATAGGGTTAACCTGACATTGACCTCAATTCATGGATCAGTGATCAAGGTTAAAGTTACGTGATTAGGTCCGTTTCTCAGATACTACAAGCAGCAGGTCAACTATCTGTGGTGTATGGAATGATTGTAAGGGGTACATGTCAGACTGGCAGGTTTCATCTGACCTTGACCTCACTTTAATGGTTCATTGGTTAATGTTAAGTGTTTTGTGTTTTAGTCTGTTTTTCAAGTACTATTAGCAATAGGTCAACTATATTTGGTTTATGGAATGATGTAAGGTGTACATGTCTGTCTAGCCGGTGTCATCTGACCTTGACCTCATTTTCATGGTTCATTGGTCAATGTTAAGTTTTTGTCTCGCATTGACGGAGTCAAAAAGCGAGACATGGTATGCTGTTTCCGGCGGCGGCGGCGTCAACAATGTATTAGTTTGTGATTAGGTCTAGTTCAGGGTGAACCACTAGTCGTAGGTCAATGATATTTGGTATGCAGTTGTATTAGCATTGGCACATCTCATTTCCATGGAGATTATTTGGCCCCACCCCCTCAGTCAAGGTCTATTGACTTTGAAACTTTGCTTAGTTTACATGTATTAGTTTGTGATTAGGTTAGTTTATGGGGAACCACTAGTGGTAGGTCAATGATATTTGGTATGCAGTTGTATAAGCATTGGCATTACTCATTTCAATGGAGATTATTTGGCCCCACCCCCTCCGTCATGGTCTATTGACTTTAAAACATTTGCTTAGTTTACATGTATTAGTTTGTGATTAGGTCAGTTTAAGGGGAACCATTAGTGGTAGGTCAATGATAATTGGTATGTAGTTGTAGAAGCATTAGCACATCTTATTTCCATGGAGAATATTTGGTCCTTACTTCTCAGTCATGGTCTATTGACTTTGAAACTTTTGCTTAGTTTACATGTATTAGTTAGTGATTAGGTGAGTTTAAGATGAACCACTAATGTTAAGTCAATGATATTCGGTATGCAAATGTATTGGCATTTACAAGTTTCATTTTCATGGAGATTATATAACCCCACCCCCTAATTATGGTTCATTGACTTTGAAACTTTTACATAGTTTACAAGTTAATGTTTGTGTTCAGGTTTGTTTAAAGGGAATGACTTGGTTTGCAGTTGTATTAGCATTGGCACATCTCATTTCCATGGAGACTGTTTAGCCCTGTATATTCAGTCATGGTTCATGGACTTTGAATATTTGCATAAATTACATGTTAAAGTATTGTAATTTTAATTTCAACATTTGCATTATCAAAATAACAAATAGGCGAGACATATCTCTGTGTTAACAGTTTATTGTGTTTTGGTCTGTTTTTCAAATAATAATAGAATAGTTCAACCATAATTGGTGTATGGAATGATTGTAAGGTGTACATGTTTGTCTAGCCAGTATCATCTGACCTTGACTTCATTTCCATGGTTCATTGGTTAACATAAAGTTTTTGTGTTTTGGTATGTTTTTCAATTACCATAAGCAATTTGTCAACTATATTTGGTGTATGGAATGATTGTAAGGTGTACATGTCTGTCTAGCTAGTATCATCTGACCTTGACCTCATTTCCATGGTTCATTGGTTAACATTAAGTTTTTTGTGTTTTGGTCTGTTTTTCAATTACCATATTGCTTAAAGCAATATGTCAACTATATTTGGTGTATGGAATAATTGTAAGGTGTACATGTCTGTGTGACAGTTTCCATCTGACATTGATCTCATTGTCATGGATCTTTAAAAATGTCAAGTTTATCTGATACCGCATAGTGGGTTTTTTTTTCGCGGGTGTAAAATTTCGTGATTTAGGGGCAACAAAGTATACGAAAAAAAATTTCGGTTTTTATTTTGGCGGATTCTTAATTTCCAATTAAATATTTTGGCGGATACTGAATTGGTTGCTATTAAAAAGTTGTAAAAAAGTGGCAGGCAGAAAAGAGTTAAACATATCTTTGCTGAATGACGTCTTATTTATTGAATATATTCAGATACAGTTATTCAATAAAATACCAGTGACATAGATATTTGTCACAGGTGTACAAACGTATTGTAAATGTTAGGGTTGATTAGTTATGAAATTGACGGGACCTTTGATGTACTAATTAGGTTATAAAATTATCATGAGTGACTTACACGTACAACTCTTATATAATTAGACACTAATTAAGAAGGGTAAAATACCTAACAGTCTGAGAGTACCTTACTCTCTTATATTATTTGACACAAAATAAAAAGAGTATACATATGCATTGTTTAATTAGCTCTCATGAAGTCCTTTTATAAAATACTTGTATGTATAGTGCCCTTTGGCATTAATGTTGTTCAAACAAACACATACCGTTATTGACCTGCCGACCAGAAAAAAATAGATAATTCACAAAACGATATATAGCTATTAGAATGTACCGAATGTATGCATAAATTTTGGCGGAATTTATTTTCGTGATTTTCATTTATCCACCAAAATAAGCGAAAAATAAACACCCCGCGAAAATAACCCGCTATACAGTACTTGTAGAAACCTTTATCTTTAAGACTTTCAACATAAAATTAATGGTCAGTAAAACAGGAGAAATTTCAGCATGTGCACTCTTGTTTCATTAAGTGAGACAATTCTGTTTTGATCAGTATTACATGTATGTTTCACTGAGATTTAGAATTACCATTTAATTATAAGTATTGAACTTTTCTGTTTTTAATGCTCTTCAACTTCATATTCTAGTTGGCCTTCAAACTGCTTTGATTAGAGCACCACTGATTCTCATTTTAATGAAACACTCTTTTGGAGTACCCTGGTATTTCTTGTGAGTTTTTTTGCCCCCAAAATGACGATTCTATATGATTTATTACATTTTATTTGCATGATAGGTCCAAACACATTTGAGATGGAACTTTCATATGTATTTCTTTAACCTCGAAAAAATCAATGTAGGATAACAAAACTTGCAGCCAGTTTGACCCCCACCCCTAACTATGTGAATTAGGTTTTTATACGACCGCAAAAAATTTGCGTTCTTATAATGCTATCACGTCGTTGTCATCGTTCGAAGACATTTGGTTTCCGGACAATAACTTAAGTTTAAGTGTATGGATCTCTATGAAATTTAACCAAAAGGTGATGGTCCCAACCGTTTAGGAATTAGTGGCCAAAAAGGGGCCCAAAACAAGCATTTTTCTAGTTTCAGGACAATAACTTGTGTATAAGTATTTTGATTACTCTGAAATTGTAGCACAAGGTTCAATACCACAAGTAGAAGGTTGGGATTCATTTTAGGGGTAATTGCCCAAACCGTTCAGGAAAAAGGGGCCAAAACAAGCAATTTTCTAGTTTTCGGACAATAACTTGTGTTTAAGTGTATGGTCTTAAATTGTACCACATTTTACAAAAAGAAAATTTCTTCAAAATTTTTTTTTTTGGGGGGGGGGGGGGTTTTCCCCTCAAGATTTAAGAAATTACAAAATGTATCAATTTTCCCCTCAAAAAAAATTGCTAATTCTTTGTATATAGTCTGAAAACAGATTTACTAAATATTGTGCAACAGCACAGTGTATTGCACAACAGCAAGAAATCTTCAATTGAATATAAATTCAAATCATATAACCAATTTCAAGTTCTTTGACTACATTTATTCTGTGTCAGAAACCTATAATGTGTCAAATATTTAATTACAATCCAAATTCAGACCTGTATCAAGCTTGATTATTGTGTCCATTTTTGCCCAAACTGTTCAGGGTTGGACCTCTGCGGTCGTATCCAGCTTCGCTCGGTAAAGCAGTTTATTTATCCTACATCAATCTTTTGATGTTGACCCTAAGTTATAATGACTATAATAGAAAAGACAAAATATATGATAGAAAGAGTACTTATAACATGTATGACTTTAATTAATAAAAATAACACTTTTTGGTGCAAAGGTAGTGCTTTTCTGAATTAGCCTTCATCAGGAACACTCCAGACCAAAAATTTGAAAGCCAGTGATGTATATTAAATACTTATACTTGAGGAGCTATATGACCAGTCTGTGGTTAAAGTTTTTGACTGTCCATTTGTCCTTTGGTAATTTGTTTTACTTGCATTCAGTACACTTTCAATTTTAATCTTGCCCATTGAACTTGGAACGGGGGCATTTAGTGTTACCCTTTACCGTCTGTCCCATTTTCGTTTCTGCACTCTATCTTAATTTGAGCAGTGAGTCACATACCGTTATAGCACCTTTATAACTAGGAAAATTACAATTTTTTTCATTTCTGCACTCCAACTTTGTCTCATCCAAATTTTATGAAACTCATACAAAATGATAGGAACTACAACATGTAGACAGAAATTTGGGTTGTAAGGCATTTACCATTCTAGAGTTTTGCCCCTTTTTAACTTGGAAAATTGCTTGAGCAGGGGCATTCATGCCCTCCGACACATTTTTCTTTTATTTTATGAATGTCTCACAACAAAAAATTGTGATATACTTTGTAGGATATGGTGTGCAACTCAACATATATTTGTAACAGATAAAAAAAATTATCAGTACAAATTATAAACAGAGCCAAATTTGCATATATATAAATGTAAAAATATGGTTTCAAATTTTATTTCAGGTATCAAAAACTTATAGATTATTATACATCTCATCATCCTGATATCAGAGTAAATGTGGAAGAAGATCTTAAAAAACTAAAGGTAACTTACAGACCTTGAACACAAAATATCATGATATGCAATTGCAATATAAAATACATTCAAGTTTTTGTTCAGTTTGTTAAAATATTCATATGTTAATCTAGTATGTACAATGCAACGTCTATAGAGACATACATTTAAATTTATCAAAACATTTTCAGATACTTGGTAAAATTTAATATAATGTTACTAGCAAGAAAGATAACATTAACAAACTAGTATCTCAATTGTTTGTAAAACAATTGAAAGGTCTGTCCTTTAAAAGTCTGATATTTGTAATGTACTCTTTATGACCTTTCATTTGAAATGCGACAACACCCCCATTTTTGTTTCCACACTCTAACTTTTAAGTTTGCCTCATTCAAGTTTTGCAAAACTCATACACAATGCTGGGAGTCAAAACTCACAGAGTTTAAATTTTGGCAGCGAGTCACTTACCCGTAGTTCTAGAGTTATGCCCCTTTTTAACTTGGAAAATTGCAATTTTTTTCGTTTCAGCACTTTCGATTGGTTAAAATTCAGCATTTTTTCGAGTTTCTCTTGACTTTAAATCAGGTATAAGCGATAAAACCGAAAGTGAAAAATTTTGATAAAATAAAGTAACAAAATGGCAGATATTGTTTGGAGTGATGGCTAACAAATTCAGAATTATTTCAATGAAAATGACGTGACAGTGGCGGCCGATTTGAAGGATTCGGATGAGAACATAAGATATGATAAATGGAAATAGAAACATCCTAGCAAATCTGCCAACAATACTTTTCATGCGAGAACCACTGCCACTGGGATTTCCCAGACGATGTACGAAACAGATGGACATGAGACAGGATTGTGATGTTTATCCTTGTGCCGTTCAACTGTGAAACAAAATTGATCACAGACATCGTTAGTTACGAACTTTTTCTTTGTTTTAGATTATTTAGTGACGAAACCTTTATCAATGAACCTGTTGGTTAAACTTATTTGTACATGGAAGTAAACGTCAGCACAGTGAAAGTCGGAAGGAAAATAGTCTCATAAAATCACAATGGAACTAGTTCATTAAACAGATTTTCAACTATATTGGTCCAATTCTAAAGTGATGGATACTTTTGTAAAGTTTTTACATTGATGGATTCGTTAATAAAACATAAAAATTTTTAAATATACCTTTGTTTACCTCTATTTGCACCTGTACAGGTAAAAAATGTACGAAGACAAACAAAATATAAAAAGAAATAAAAAATACAGAAACTAACAATACTTTTTTATATAACTTTTATTGATGAATACTCAATATTTACAAAGATATAGCAATTATAAGTTAACATGTTTATTTCATCAGTGATTAAAAATTTATTCAGCAATACACAAAAGTACAATAGAAATGAATGCAGCAGTCTGCTAATGGGACCATCAAAATTTCATATTTTGTTTCAATGAAATAGCTTTTATGTATTAGTAAATAACAATGTTTATAATATCTTAATGCATAAAAATAAACCAGTTGAAAAATAGTGTGATCTTCTATTAACTACTATTAAGGTCATAAATGCTTAGTTTACCAAATAAACAAGTAAAGCTAACAAAGAGATTATAAGTATAAGAACCAAAGCATTATTCCAGAAATGGACACAATGGAACATATCAGAAAACTTTTTACATAAGAAATAAAAACAAAACCGTGAAAATATGAAAATAACACATGCACATAAATACCTAAGACTAGATCAATTGAACTCTTTAAAAATTGGCACTGACATCAAATGCTCTCAAAAAGTATTTTCACGTATTATAAGCAAGCTTGAGCGGGGGCATTTGTATCCTCAGACACATTCTTCTTTTATTTTGTCAAGTGAAATACTCACTTATTCAGTCTTCACGATAAACTTTTAAATCTACAGGCCCGGAAAATTTTAGTTAGACTCTGTTGGCCTGTGCTGATGATTTTTACAGGCCCGTTTGTTACCTTGATATGTCTTTTATCAGTTTACGAGATTTGAACATTGGTTAACTACTGTCACCTTAATTTACTTCCTATTTCGAAAAGTTACCATGGAAAATTAATCTTAACATGACGTGTTTGTTTTAAAATAAAATATATAGAATTCCTTTCGACAGAAAATGTTCAGATCTTTGTTTCTTTTCATAAATTTGGGTTTTAAAGGGGAAAACAACCAGGTCCTGTAAACCGACAAAACCAGGTCCTTCCATTTTGACATGGCCAATTTCTTTTGTTCTATGAATAGAAATACAAATACTGTATATTCAGAAATTAATGTGCATTTATTATGGCGAATGACTGATTATTCAGGGTCCGACACTTACTGTTGTCCGATTCCCCAGGGCAAGTTAATGCCGTATTCGGACAAGTAAAAACATCATCTTAGTTGTATGATCGGGCAAGTGAAAAAAAAGTGTTATATGATTAAAATTTCACAAAATCAATAGAGTCTGTTGTTTTGTCCATAGATAACTCAGTGATAATACTGCACGGTCGAGTAAAGTGCGCTTAACCCCCCTTCAATGCGTATATTTCGTCATTTGTTCGCACTGAATTCCCCATTTTACCAAAAATAGATCACGTTTAAAAATATTGGCCAATCAGGCGGCGTTGCTTCGTCATTATTGTTATCAATCGGGACACCACTCGGGCGTTTCCGACGCATGTGTTATTCCCACAGACCAATGGAAAGCGGAGGTCTATTTTCGTTGTTCTAACTTTAGAATTTGACATCGGATGTGTATTTCCCTAAGATGGAAAAACGTAAAAGCTTGAAAGAGAAAATGAAATTAAACTTTAACAAATTTGTCAGTTGTTGTCAGTTTATCAAGAAGGGGATTCTGGAAATATTATTGACCTCTCAATTCATCAATATTTATACTCCATAATCAATTTACACCCCATATACATGATAACTATATTTTATCTGCATGTACTACATTACAACCACAAAAATAGCATGTAAAAGTTTGGGCATGCAGATTTCACTTTCGGACAAATAAAAGTAATAGGGCACTTGCCCAACTGGACAAGTTGGTATAAAAATTAATGTTGAACCCTGTTATTGGTAAAAATATGAGTTCTAATTAATGCGATTGCAAAAAAATTTGAGAAGGAAAATCACTAATGAGATTATGGATGCAAGTTTTTATTATTGATAACCTGAAACTATGTCAATTTTATACGCCTGCAAAAGTTTGCGGCCGTATAATGGTATGGCGATGTTGTCGTTGTTTTCCTCTTCCTTGTCGTCCGAAGACATTTGGTTTCCAGACAGTAACTTGAGTATAGGTGAATGGATCTATATGAAATTGTACCACAAGGTTCCATACCACAAAAGGAAGGTTGGGATTGATTTGGGGGGTTATTGCCCTTACTGTTTAGAAATTAGGAGCCAAAAAACAAGTATTTTACGGTTCCGGACAATAACTTGTCAATGAGTATATTAAAGTCTATGGATCTCTATGAAATTGTTCCACAAGGTTCCATACCAAAAAGGAAGGTTGGGATTGATTTGGAGGTTATTGCCCTAACCGTTTATTTTTAGGGGCCAAAAACAATACTTTTCTAATACTTTGTTTAAATTGCTTATTTCTTGACCAATTTCAATGGTGTTTATTTCAAAGTCTTGAATTCTTGGGTTCTTTAATATGCTGAATCTAACCTTGTATCAAGATTTTGGATTTTGGGCCCAGTTTTCAAGTTAGTCCAAATGGGGGTCCACAATTAAACTTGGTTTGATTTCAACAAAAATTGAATATATGGGGTTCTTTGATATGCTGAATATAACCATGAATTTAGATTTTGGATATTGGACCACAATAATAGGTAAATGTCTAATTTCAAATTTCTCTATTCATCTTGTTGCAGTGCATTTTTATTTATTTCTCATAAATCTAGAATATTTATAGAAATTATTACTTCTTACAATTGAAAATGGTATATGTTTATTGTCCCCCGAGCAAAGTGTTGTGGGGGACATTGAAATACAGGGCATCCGTCCGATCTTGTTAGCGCTCTTACATGTACAATTCTTGCCAGATTTTTATGAAACTTATATTATAGGTTTATATCAGCAATGGCTTGAAAGAGTTCGAAAATCAGTGCCAATCAATTTTTTTTAAAAGAGTTATGCCCCTTGGAAACATTAATTATATGGAAAATTGCATCCTTAGCGCTCTCATGTGTACAATTCTTACCAGAATTTTATGAAACTTATATCATAGGTTTATACCAGCCATGTCTTTAACGAGTTCGAAAATCAGTGCCGATTAACTATATTTAAAAGAGTTAAGCCCCTTGGAAATATTTAGTATATTGAAAATTGCATTGTTAGCGCTCTCATGTGTACAATTCTTGCCAGAATTTTATGAGATTTATATTATAGGTTTACATCATCAATGTCTTTAACGAGTTTGAAAATCAGTGCTGATCAATTATATTTAAAAGAGTTATGCCCCTTGGAAATATTGATTATATGGAAAATTGCATTGTTAGCGCTCTCATGTGTACAATTCTTGCCAGACTTTTATGAGAATTATATTATAGGTTTATATTATCAATGTCTTGGACAAATTCGAAAATCAGTGCTGATCTGATCAATTATTTGTCCCCTACCGACGTAGTCAAAAGGGACTTTAGGTCTGTCTGTCTGTCCATCCGTCAGTCCGGCAAATCAGTGTTCCACACTTTTTTTCTTCATGCTTGAAGATATTGATTTGATATTTGGTGTATTGTTTTATCATGACAAGTTACAGATCAAGTTCAAATTTTGTTCCGGTCTGATAATTTTGTGCAGAGTTATGGTCCTTGGACTAAGAAAATTCACTCAAATATTCTTTTTTCCGCACTTTTTTTCATCATGCTTGAAGATTATGGTTTAATAATTGGTATATAATTTTATCATGACAAGTTACAGACAAAGTACGAATTTTGTTCCGGTCTGATAATTTTGTGCAGAGTTATGGTCCTTGGACTAAGAAAATTCACTCAAATATTCTTTTTTCCGCACTTTTTTTCATCATGCTTGAAGATAATGATTTGATAATTTGTATATAGTTTTATCATGACAAGTTACAGACCAAGTACGAATTTTGTTCCGGTCTGATGATTTTGTGCAGAGTTATGGTGCTTGGACTTAGAAAATTCACTTAAATAATCAGTTTTCCGCACTCTTTTGCGTCATGCTTGAAAATAATTGACATGATATTTGTTATATAGTTTACACCATGACAAGTTATAGATCAAGTTTTTGTTCCAGTACAATTAATTTTTAACTGGTAGGGGACTATGTATTGCCATGCAATACACTCAGAATGCTTGTTTTTAATAGAGTTATGTCCCTTGGAAATATTGATTATATGGAAAATTGTATTGTTAGGGCTCGCATGTGTACAATTCTTTGAAATTTTAATTATAACGGAAATTGCTTTGCATTTGCTCTGAAGCCTTCATATCTCTAAGATATGTATAAAACGTTTTTAAAAGAAAAGAAAAAAAACACCTTTTGTTTTTGTTATTGCCCTTGTACCTTTGTACCTTGGATAGATAATATATATGTGCAACAAGGGGGACATTGGAACTCTGTTCTTTTATTCATATTCAAATGAATAAACATAAATCCTTACATTTCTCTGTCTGTAAGTGGTTTGTCATGGTAATGGATATTAGATACTATTAAGTCCTTAAAAAATTACCAGGTAGTTTAGACAGGGTGTATTTGATTAAAAAGTATTAACTATTTATATTTAAGATCGGTGTAAGATAATTATAAGCTTTATTCTGACACTGGAAGTGTTGCACAAGGCGTTTTTTCATTCAAGTTTTCTTATAACATGAATTTGAAATAGGTGGTAGACTTTCAATTGTTCAAATTTTTATTTAATTTTTTAGAATTGTGAATTACAAACATTAAATATGATATTTATGAATATTTTTGACAGGTGTACAGAGAAAGAGTTAGTCCTTTAGTCAGAGATACTGTTCCATTCCTTCACAAAGCAATCAAAGATGGGAAGCACATTTTGATAGAAGGAGCTCAGTCTACAATATTAGATATTGATTTTGGTATGTTGTTGTATCAAAATGGATTGACATTGTAATCTTTTGTGAATATATTGAAACTCTTCTATTCTTTAAAAACATTATATTCATTTTACTGTTAAATAAATTGTTTGGTATAGTCTTGGTTATGAAGTGCAGAAACCTAGAATGTTCCAGTCGATGTGAAGTCAGTAACATAGCAAAGTTGACATACTACATAAAATGAGAACAGAAATTATGAAAAATAATTGAAAAAAATGCATTTTGATTGTAGGGGCACAGTCTACAATATTAAATATTTATTTTGGTAGGTTGTATCAATTGTCTTACTTGAAAACTGCAATAGATAGTGGAAATTTGCCTTGGTGAAAAATATAAGAATGTTAAGATTAACTAAACCCATTCCATTTCAACCACAAAGGAGTAGGTCCAGTAAGACCCCTTTTTGGCCCCAAAATATAGCAGGTTTACAAAATTGTTAAAATGTAAACTTTTAGCTATTTATTGGATAGTAGAATACTTCTGCTACATAAATATGGGCAGTTTTTGACAATACAATGCATATATATCGGATATTAGCATCATTAAGTCATGCTAAATTACTGAAATCTTCACAATTTTAGCATTTGAGTTAAATTTTAGACGGTTTCCGTCTTAAATGGAAGTGGCCGCATTTGTGTTCATTCTTAATATTTAAATGCAAGATGTATTTGATGATAATACATAACATATATAAAGGTTGAGAGTGAACACGGTTGCGGCCACTTTCATTTTTGACAAAACCATCTGAAAAGTGACATATTATGGCATATTTGATAGATTTTTCATATTTAAGCTTGAATCTGAGTGTCTTTAATGATAAAATCAGTTCAAATCTGTCACATAAACTAATTGAATCGACTGAAGTAGACACTTAAGTGTTTAAAAAGTGATCAAAATCTTTCATCAGATGAACCTGAAATTTGAGGCCAAAATCGGGCCTTACCGGACATTCTCCTTTGGTTTACTCCTTAAAAGAGTTATTGCCCTTAAATAAGGATTTTCACACACTTAAAGTGTTTCTATACGACCACAAAACTTTATGGGGAACTACTAGTGGTAGCTCAATGATATTTGGTATGCAGTTGTATAAGTATTGGCATATCTCATTTCCATGGAGATTGTTTGGCTCGGCCCCCTCAGTCCTGGTCTATTGACTTTGAAACTTTTGCTTAGTTTACATATATTAGTTTGTGATTAGATCAGTTTAAGATAGCTAATGTTAAGTCAATGATATTTGGTATGCAAATTTATTGGCATTTGCAAGTCTCGTTTCCATTGAGATTATATAGCCCCACCCCCTCATCATAGTTCATTGACTTTGAGACTTTTATATAGTTTACAAGTTAATGTTTATGTTTAGGTTTGTTTAAAGGGAACGACTTATGATAAGTCAATGGTATTAAGTATGCAGTTGTATTAGCACTGGAACATTTCATTTCCATGGAGATTGTTTAGCCATGTACCTTCAGTAATGGTTCATTGACTTTGAATATTTGCATAACTTACATGTTAAAGTATTGCTATTTTGATTTCAACATTTGCATTATCAAAATTACAAAAAGGCGAGACATATCTCTGTGTTAACAGTTTATTTAATGACTTTGTTTCAAGATAATAACTTGTGTATAAGTGTATAGATCTCTTTGAAATTGTACCACAAGGTTCCATACCTCAAAAGGAAGGTTGGGATTAATTTTGGGGGTTATGGCCCAAACCGTTCAGCAATTAGGGGCTAAAAAACTATGATTTTCTGGTTACCGGACAATAACTTGAGTGTAAGTCTATGGATCTCTATGAAATTGTACCACAAGGCTCCATGCCAAAAAAAGGTAGTTTGGGGATTGTGGCTCTAACATTTTAGGAAAAAGGGACCAAAAACAATACTTTTTCTAGTACTTTGTATAAATTGCTTATTTCTTGACCAATTTCAATTTTTTTAATCTGCTGAGTCTAATTGCATATTTAGATTTTGGATTTTGGGCCCCGTTTTTGAATTAGTCCACAAAGGTCCAAAATTATCCTTGGTATGATTTATCAAAAATTTAATTTTTGGGGTTCTTTGATATGCTGAATCTAACCTTGTATTTAATTTGCGGGCCCATTTTCCAATTTGTCCTCATTAAGGTCCAAAGGATCTAAAATTAAACTTTGTTTGATTTAAAAAAAAATGTAATTCTTAGGGTTCTTTGATATGCTGAATCTAACCATGTACTTAGATTTTTGATAATGGGAATGGTTTTCAAATTGGTCCACATTAAGGTCCAATGGGTCCAAAATTAAACTTAGTTTGATTTTAATGAAAATTATATTGAAGGGGTTCTTTGATAATCTGAATCCAGATATGTATTTAGATATTTGATTTTGAGCCCAGTTTTCAAGTTGGTCCAAGTCAGGGTCCAAAATGAAACTTTGTTTGATTTCACCAAAAATTGAATACATGGGGTTCTTTGATATGCTGAATCTACCCGTGTATTTAGATTTTGAATTTTGGGCCTTGTTATCAATTTGGTCCACCTTGAGGTCCAAAGGGTCTAAAATTAAACTTTTTTGTTTGATTTCATCAAAAATTAAATTCTTGGGGTTATTTTATATGCTGTTTCTAACCATGTATTTAGATTTTGGATATTGGACATTAAAAGGTAAATGTCCAGTTTAAAATTTTTAAGTTCTTAGACTATATTCATTCTGTGTCAGAAACTAGGCTTTGTCAAATATTTAATCACAATCCAACTTCAAAGCTGTAATGCACAATTAATATAAATTGTAAGTAAAGTCATAGTTAATGATAGATACAGCATCAAATCTAATTTTGGAGAAAAAATTATGTAGAAATATAGTTTGAAATTTACTGTTCATTACAAGAGTTTTTTGGAAATCAATTAACGGTAAGTTTTATAGATTTTTTTATATGACCGTTTACGGGACATATAATGGTATTAAGTTGTCTGTCCGTCCTCAACATGTCGGACAATAACTCAAAAACATTTTCACCAATTTTCATAAAACTTTGTGAATTGTTTACATCTATTGACATAAGCTCCCTTTCTATTTTTATACGCCCGTTTACGGGACACTGTTGTCTGTCCGTTCGTCCGTCCGTCGCCTTCATATGTCGGACATTAATTCAAAAATGCTTCAACCAATTTGCATAAAACTTTTGTGAAATGTCCATATCAATTGACGTGAGCTCCCTTTCGTTATTTATAAATTTTAGATTTTACGTTTCTGAGTTATGGGGTTTTATTCATTAAAAAAAGGGGGATTTTCCAGTTTTCAGACAATAACTCATAATGCTTTCACCAATTTGCAAGAAACTTTGGTGAATTGTTTATATCTATTGACATGAGCTCCCATTTGATTTTTATAAATTTTAGATTTTATGTTTCCTAGTTATCATGGTTATGGAGTTTTATTCATTAAAAAAAGGGGGGATTTTCCAGTTTTCGGACAATAACTCAAAAATGCTTTCAGCAGTTCTCATGAAACTTTGGAGAATTGTTTATATCTATTGATGTAAGCTCCCTTTCGATTTTTATAAATTTTAGATTTTACACTTCCGAGTTATGGGATTTTATTCATAAAAAAGGGGTGATTTTCCAGTTTTCAGACAATACCTTTAAAGTGCTTTGAGCAGTTTTCATTAAACTTTGGTGACTGGTTTATTGCCTCGCCTTGACGGAGTCAAAAAGCGAGACATAGGTATGCTTTTTCCAGCGTCGGCATCAACAATGTATTAGTTTGTGATTAGGTCTAGTTTATGGTGAACCACTAGTGGTAGGTCAATGATATTTGGTATGCAGTTGTATTAGCATTGGCACATCTCATTACCATGGAGATTATTTGGCCCCACCCCCTCAGTCAAGGTCTATTGACTTTGAAACTTTACTTAGTTTACATGTATTAGTTTGTGATTAGGTCAGTTTATGAGGAACCACTAGTGGTAGGTCAATGATATTTGGTATGCAGTTGTATTAGCATTGGCACATCTCATTACCATGGAGATTATTTGGCCCTGCCCCCTCAGTCAAGGTCTATTGACTTTGAAACTTTGCTTAGTTTACATGTATTAGTTTGTGATTAGGTCAGTTTATGGGGAACCACTAGTGGTAGTTCAATGATATTTGGTATGCAGTTGTATAAGCATTGGCATATCTCATTTCCATGGAGATTATTTGGCCCACTCCCTCATTCATGGTCTATTGACTTTGAAACTTTTGCTTAGTTTTCATGTATTAGTTTGTGATTAGGTCAGTTTAAGGGGAACTGTTAGTGGTAGGTCAATGATAATTGGTATGCAGTTGTATAAGCATTAGCACATCTCATTTCCATGGAGAGTATTTGGTCCTTACCCCTCAGTCATGGTCTATTGACTTTGAAACTTTTGCTTAGTTTATATGTATTAGTTAGTGATTAGGTCAGTTTAAGATGAACCACTTATGTTAAGTCAATGATATTCGGTATGCAAATGTATTGGCATTTGCATGTTTCATTTCCATGGAGATTATATAACCCCACCCCCTAATTATGGTTCATTGACTTTGAAACTTTTACATAGTTTACAAGTTAATGTTTGTGTTTAGGTTTGTTTAAAGGGAACGACTTATGAAAAGTCAATAGTATTTGGTTTGCAGTTGTATTAGCATTGACACATTTCATTTCCATGGAGATTGTTTAGCCCTGTACCTTCAGTCATGGTTCATTGACTTTGAATATTTGCATAACTTACATGTTAAAGTATTGCTATTTTAATTTCAACATTTGCATTATCAAAATAACAAATAGGCGAGACATATCTCTGTGTTAACAGTTTATATCAATTAAGATAACCTCCCTTTAGTTTTTCACAAATTTCTGATATGACATTGAGAAGTTATTGAACTGTATTCCTAAAAAATGTGACGGCATATCATGCGCTCAAGGCGCAGCTGTTAATTATAAATTTGAGTTGTAAGTTTCCGAGTTATGGGATTTTATTCGTAAAT